CACTTGGTGGTGCATGCCACTGAGATGTACAGGCCGGCCCTCTCCCTCCCTCTCTCCCTTCACCTTCCTGCTTGCTGGCCACACTGAGAGCTGATGGCGCCCTGAATTCACATGACTTTGCACCTACCAGCCTCTGTTATTCCTGTTTTCTGCATCGTTGTTTGTGGTTGCGTGAGTCTGAAGAGGGACTTATGAACTAGGATCGCATTTTTGGACTTGATTTGGACTGGGCTGAGATGTTTTCTTGAACTATAATCGCTTCTGGATACTAAGCTCTCTCTTGTACATGTATGACTGTCTCTGGATTTGTTTCTCTAGTCAACCCAGCTTAACACAGCAACCAGCTCCCTCTACGTTGAATAAGTTCCTTGACCTGTTTGATTGCATCAGTCTGTTGGTGATAAATGCTCTCAGCTGTTGTGTAGTTGAAACTGTCAGTAATCTGCCTTGAAGGGTACTTTTGCTGCATACAGAATTTTAAGTTGATTATTTTGCTTTCACTACTTAAAAAATGTCATTCTCTCATCTTGTGGCATACTTTGTTTTAGAGACTATTTGCAGAATTGTTTATGTGTAGTTGATGAGCTATTTTCTCCTCTTTGACTTCTTTTAAAATATTCTCATTCCTTTTTAAAAAAATTTTTTTCTTTTTTTCCTCAAGCAATTTGATTTTGATATGTCTGCAAAGGTTTAATTTGTATTAAACTTGCTCGGTATTTGTTGAATTATTTGGATATTTGGCTTAATATTTTTCATCATAATAGGGAAATACTTCTTTAGCTATTTTTCATCCCAAAGTTCTCTTCTCATTCTAATACCCGAATCCCACGTGTGTTGGGTGCTTTGTCTTGAATTAAAATCTCATTTTAATGTTTTGTTTCTTTTTTTTCTCTATATACTTTTACTTTAAACCGTTTTTCACTTAAGCTTTTCTTCTCTAATGTCCAATCTGCTGTTAAAATCCTACCTGTGAAGTTTTATTTTATGTCTTTTGTTTTCTAGTTGCAAGATTTCCATTTGGTTCTTGCTATGGTTCTTGTCTGCCTTTCGAGATTCCTTCTCTCTCCACTTATGTCCATTTGTTCCTTTACATTCTCAAAGATACTTGTGACTTTTATCTCTTTCTGTTGATTACTTTGTTTTCTCCTGTCTAGGAGTACAGTCTCTTCCTTCCTATTTATAGTAATTTGGATTGTGTGCTGGAGCTTTTAAGTCCAAATTATATGTATATTAACTTTTGAAATTATATATATATCCCTTAATATATTTAAATCATACACAAATTTAGAAATGTATATTAAAGCCTTCTGAAGCATATATACGAAATATTTTTTTAACATTTAGAATTTAAAATTAGAATTTTAGTAACATAAGTTCAAGCTTCATATTTCTAACACCCCCCCTAATTCCAGGGCCTAAAATTTAACCTATCGCAGAGTGCTTGTGCCTCGCGTTCAGCTGCGAGTCATATGGTGACTGGGCCGGCTCGGAGCTCACGTGCTGTGGCTGCTGTGGTGGTCATTGTGTATGCTTCAGCAATGAAGAAGTATTTCCAATGGGCTTATAAACTCATCATTCGACCACTGGGAGCCTTGGCGATATAGCTGACTTTTAAAAATGATGTCTTTTATTCTGGCATGGAGCCAATTCCTGAAGGGCTCACTGGAGCCTGCCATGACCTGATTTCAGTGCCGGTGCCGGTGCATGCCTCTGCAGAACCCTCATCCAGACTCCATGCTCCCTGAACTTGTCAGCTGTTGGGCCCACCCAAGGACTCCACTGGAAATAGCAACCACCAAACCAGACACCCTGTGGACGCGGACTCATGGCAACCCCATGTGGGTGTCTGAGACTGTAACTCTTGATGGGGTACAAAGCCCAGTCATTGCTGCTCCCCAGGAGCTGCTGGTGGTTTCGAACTGCCAACTATGCAGATCGTAGCCCAATGTGTAACCATGGCAGCTCCAGGGCCCCTTCTACCTGGAAATAGGCAGTAAGTCAATATGATTGGCAGATAGTTACTAAAGTAGCAGCTGATTGAAAGTACAATGCGGACAGGTAAGTGGGTGATTTGATAGTGAGCTGGTGGACATTCTAAGTTGAATCCCGATGACGTCAAACATAGTGGACAGGCATGTGGAAGTCAGCTGGAAAAGCAGTCAAGGATGCGTAACAGGGAAGTCATAAAACTGGAATTGATTTGGTGTGTGATTAGCAGAAAGACCAGCTTTGCTGGGACGTAGTGCCAACAAGGCGGGGCAAGCAAGTCCCTGGAGTGGCTCCTCATGGCCCTTCGTGAATGGCGTGGAGCGTTTTCCTCATGTAATTGGGTGCTTTCCTAACAGTCACAGGAAACCTTTGCAAGGTTTCACGTAGGTGAAGCATGGACACAACAGTGACCCTCTGTTGGCAGCGTGGAAAATGGAGTGAGTGGGATCAGGAATGCCCGCAGGGAGACCATGGAGTTCCTGTTAGGATAGTCTAGGTGAGAAGTGCAGGTAGCTTGCTATCATGCAGGGTAGATGCCAGATCTTTTTGGAGGTAACTCCTCCTCCTCCGAGGAGCAGTAAAGAAATCGATTGGTTTCAAGCATTGAGTAGAGAGGTGCCTTTGAGAAAATAGGGAAAGCTGGGCAAGTGGATGCTCAGAGCTCTAGTCCAGCCAGGTTTGCTTCATGACCCTAGAAATGTGTGTGGAGGTGAAGAGTAAGTTGATCATGGGATCTATACTTTCATGTCATTTTCAGCTGAGTAGAGATTCTAACCATGAAGTTGTACTATGTAGGATGGATCCCAAGATCTCATTAATTTATACTTTTTTTTATTTAATCCTTTAAATTCTGTAAAATAGCTATCATGATACTCCTTGACCACACCTGCCTTATTGCAATTCAGTAGAACAGATAAGAGCACGGAGTCTGGAGATGGGCCCCCGGGGTTTGAATCTTGGTTCTCTGAATACCAACTGTGCTCCTCTTGGTAGGAAACATAACTTTCTGAATTTCCTTTTCTGTTTCCTCCATTGTGAAACAGGGAAAATCATTAAACCTACTTCCTAGAGTTCTGAGGAAAGCAAATGAGTTAGCTATTATAAAAGCACTTAGCGTCATTTCCTGCAGAAAGAAAACAGTTTCGTTAACGTTCATTGACATCTTTGGGGTGGTGCAGCTGATTAATGTGGTCATCTAAACAAAGGATTTGAGACTTAAGAGGCTGCTTGAGAGAACGGCACACTGATCTACCGAAAAATCAGACATTGAAAACCCGTGGAGCACTGATGTATTTGGGATTGCCATAGTTGGAATCAATTTGATGGCAACTGGTTCTATATGTTTGGTGGTGATGGTGGTGCTGATGGTGATGGTTGTGATGGTGGAGGTGGTGGTGATGGTGATGGTGGTGTTGATGATGGTGGTGGTAGCAGCCATTTGTAAAACCTGCCAGCACAATCCTGTCTGAGGATCTTTGTCCTTTTGTTCTCTCCATCTGATTTGCTGCCCCCGATGTCCACACAGCGTGCACTGGGTGAGTGTCTGCATGGCAGTGCGACTTTTCTTTCAGCTGCAACCACCGCACTACCCTGCCGTGTTGTTTTCCCAGAGCAAGCCTGACAGTCTGACAGAGTCTGTATTTGTGTGTTCGTTTTTGTTCATTTCCCCTCGACTTCTGTTTTGTTCCACAAAGCAGAATCTGTCTTCAACAATAACAAGGTAGGGTGCCTTCTCTCGATACATGTAGTACCGTGTATCCAGGTGAATGGGCTGTTTCAGTGACTGTCTAATGACCCTGGGGAATCTGTCAATGCAGGGGTTCAGAGTGCTGACTCGTCACACAGTCTCCATCCACGTGTACGTGCTGAAGCGTTTCTGATAACATCAGCTCCCACGGACACCCAGTAGTTCATGAACGTGGACTGCATGCTGCACCCACAGGAAAGCTGGTTTTCAATGCCAGATAAGAAGGGATTCAGCCTGCTGGTGTAGCTGCAGCAGCAGCTTGGTGCATTTCCTCTTTCTGCACACAATGGTCTTCCTGCTGTATTCTTGAATCCCTGAGCAGCCATAGCAACAGGCCTCAAGCTACAGCGCTTAGTGGGAAATGTGGATTTGCCTGGAATACCAGGGCTGTTTTGTGCTTCTTGGGGCACTTCCAGCCAGCCTACTGTCGCCAGGTAGGGTACCCGTGGCGTGATTGGAGATTTGTGGAATTGCCATTTAGCTAAGCTTGGAAAATAGCTGAGTTCCCCAAGAGATCACTTTTTACTGTGGTACACAATTTACTGGCATGACAAACTCTTCGTGCAGAGAACATTAGTGTCACACAGTGTTAAAAATCCACATATAAGTGGAACCACGCAGTTCTAATTCATGTTGTTTAAGGGCCAACAATCCAGTGTTTCCACACCTGCATGCAAGCAGCCCTGGGTGATATGTGAGACAGGAGGACATGTGACTAGATTGAGCCCACATGTGTATAGGTGGCTCTCGGCCTTTACCGAAGTCTGCCTGAGCTCATGGGTCCTAAGCTATATGTGGAGTTCTGCTGGTGCCGTGGGGTAAGCCTGGCATAGGTTGGTGGTTCAAACCCACCAGCTAGTCCAAGGGAGAGAGAGGAGACTTCTGCTCCTGCAAAGATGTGCAGTCTTGGAAACCCAAGAGAGCCATGGAATCCACTCAATTGCAGCATTGTGTTGTGTGTGTGTGTGTGTGTTTTAATTTTCAGTGGGATGTTGAGTCCCTGGGTAGTGCTAACAATTAAGAGCCTAGCCACTACCTGGAAGCTTGGTGGATTGACTGCACCCAGATTCATTCTGGGAAAAAGGTCTGGCAGTCTGCCTGCAATCCCAGTGGGCCCCGACCATTGACAATCCTATGGCGCACAGCTGTGCGCTGGCGCCGACACGCGTGGAGTTACCATGAGCCGATCCACTCGACAGCAACTACTTATCTTGTTTGTTTGTGTTAGACCTGTGTGTAACCTTCATCTGACTTTCTCTTTCAGTATGAATACTTCAATGCTGTGCTCATCAACGAGAGGGACAAAGACGGGAACTTTTTGGAGTTGGGGAAAGAATTCATCTTAGCGCCAAATGACCACTTTAATAACTTGCCTGTGAACATTAGCCTGAGTGATGTCCAAGTGCCGACAAACATGTACAACAAAGGTAAGGCCCTGCCTCAAGGAGGGACTACCCACATGCTGTGGCTGGTGTTGGATGCCGAGCTAACCAAACAAGCAAACCAACAAAAACCACTCAGAAGTATCAGTCATTCGCCCGGAGAGTCTGAGCTCACTGCCTTTGTGTTTGCGCCAAACTCCCTACCATGTAGAAGAAGGAAGGCTCCCCAAGCATTCTGTGTTGAGGGCCGGAGAATAAACAGTGTAGGACAGTAAGGCTCTATTGCATCTACTTAATGGTGCTGTTGTATTCTGTGAGAAACAAAACTATAACTACAAAGACAGATGGTTGGACTTGACCTTCAGGCTGCAGTGTACTGACCCCTGACCTAGTGCCTCTCCCGCTGCTTCTTCTGCTCCCAGTCTTGCTACTTAAGCGCTGGGGAGCACCAGGGACTCAATGCAGTCAGTGCTGGACATTTCCTTGAGTAGAAAGCAGCAGGGACATCTGTCATAGCTTCTTATGGGGCTTCCTGTTTCCTGGCTCATGACCCTCGAAGCCAATCTTCACATAGACACTAAAGTTCTTACCAAAATTTCCATCTGACATTCAAAACCCAGAACCAAACAAACCCATTGTCTTAGAGTCAGTTCTGTCTCAGCAAACCAGCGAGGCAGCAGAGAGCTGCTCCATAGAGTGCCAGCCTGGGATTCTTTATCTCACCCTGGGAGCAGCTGGAGGGTTTAAACTGCCGACCAGCAAGGGTGTAACCACTGTGTCACCAGGATCTTCCCATCCAAGTAGGGAAGTGAGTGACCAAGAACCAGGCTCCTGTATCAGTGGCACTTTGGTTGGTCCTTGAGCGCCACCTCCTACAGGCTGTGAGGCTCTGGATGCATCACCTCCTCTGTAAACCCGAGTCCCCATCTCTGAAATGTGAGGAACGACACTCTCAACCTCCTGGCGTGCTCCTGAGGACTGCACACAGGACGTTTGCAAAGCATCTAACATCCCCCGCTTCCTCCTCACTACTGAGAAGGATGTTGCTCTACTTTGGCATACATTAACAAAGAGCCTTCCTCCCTGAGAAGGAAATCAGGAATCTATGACCACTTCCAAACAAGCTTGCTCCTGTTGCCCATCTCTGCTGTCACGGTTTCAAAAGAACAGAACCCAGCTTCCATTGCAGCATGGGTTTCACTGTCTTCTGTGAGAGCTCAGAGGTTGGGGACTGTTAGTCTGGGTAGACCAGAGAAAGAAATAATGGACACTGATATGTATATGAGAAAAAGCGTTATAGACAAGAGCAACTGTACATTGAGAAAACTTCCCAGCCTAGTCCAGATCAAGTCCATTAGTCTGATATTAGCCCACATGTCCGATGCCAATCTATGAAGTCCTCTTCAGACACACGAAAGGCATGCCATGATGCCGAATGCAGGAAGATCACAGGGCAGTGGGTGGGAAGGCTTGTGGATCCAGTGGCATTGTAAGCATCTCAGTGCTGGCAGGGGTCTCCGTGTGGCTCCTTCCGGTCCAGGGTTATCGCTGCCATCAGTATAGCCCCATGTGTCTTGTCAGTAGAGAGTCTCTTGTAGAGTGAGCAGAGAGAGAGACTGTCTCCCACCTCCAAGGAGAAAATCCAGCAATCCCCAGAATCCTAGGGGGAAGGCCATACCCATGCAGAGGCCTGATTGGCTATACAATGATTGACAGGCTAGACTCCACCCCTTCACACATAATCCTCTCAAAGTGACAACAGATTATGTAACCACCACAGCAACAGGCTCCAGAGTTGAATTCTGCTCTTCCTGTGGGTGCTGGTGTTGTCCTGAGCAAGTATTGTGCCCCCAAGCCTCAGTTTGACCTATGCTAGAGAGAGAGAGAGACAATCATCTTTTTCTTTGATGTCATGAAACAAAATGTGGAGGAATTATTGAGTGTGTGTGTGCTTTCATATGGGGGTTTATCTCTTGTATTTTGTCATTGTTGGTAGCCTTCTTGACTCTGTGATATATGTATATTTGTTATGTTGTTTGATATATGAAACCCAGGATGGATGACTTTATAGAGACAAGGACTAGAATAAGGGCTCCTGAGGGGTATGGCAGGGAAGGTGGGGATTGATGGGGAGCTGCTATCAAGGAGTTCAAGGTTCACAGCCCTGGCTAGCTGTCGGGGCTTGGCCCAAGGTCAGCCAGATGCTGTAACTTGTCTCTGCCAGGCACTGAGTAGCTAGCTGAGAGAACAGGGAGGGAACTTGAGGAGAAATAGCCGTCTCCACGCTACCTAATTCAAATCAGCCCCAAACAGTCATTTTTCTCTTCAAGTTGCAGATATGAAGGGACCTTTTATCTTTAAAGGACCCCGAAGCTCAGGTTCAATTAATGGTGACATGGACCCAAACACATTCTCAGAGCCTGGTCACTAGCTGTGATGTTCCTGGGTGGGAAATCTGAACCCCGGCAAAGAAAACCAGCGTGAGACCCTGTTCCCCTGGCTGCCGGACCCCTGGGAGCACTGGGCACAGTAGTTTGGTACCTGGTGACACCTGCTGTGGTTCATCACTTCTGGTCATAGATGCACCCAGCTGACAAAGTCTTCTCGACTCCCGCGGTCTGCTCTCTGCTGCCTGGGGAGGCTTTTGCCCAGCTGTTGAGCCAGGTCGGTGCTTACTTTGCCTTCTGAGGCGCGGTGCACTTAGCCATGGAAAGGTTGCAAGTACAGAGCCGGTAGGTGGCATGTGCAGGAGTTGTCCTGCTTCCCGTGAGAATTCCAAGAGCTTTGTCCCTGGAGTCTTCAGGAAAGTGTCTCGGGCCACCCAGGGCACCGGTGCAGCTGCTTCTGCGTGAAAGCTCTTCTACAGGGGCCCCACGAGTGGCTGCTTCTGGTATCACCAGCCCCTGAGTCTTCCTCAGACTGCTGCCAACATCTTTTCCACAGTGGGCAAAGCGTGGGAAAGGGTGCTTTTGCAAGAGATGCTGATGAGCTGCCTGCAGATTGGCACAAAGCTGCACTCTTTTCCTCAGTATGTCCTCTGCTTAGGGTGTGGCATTTGCATATATGTGTAGTGATGTTCATGAACACTTATGCAAACCTATTATCTCTGTGTTTCTGTGGGTTTCCTGCATTGTGCCATTTGGGATCATGTAGCTGTTCAAACCAGCCTGTGGCCTGAGCACCTGAGACGGTCTGTGGATGCGGTTTCACTTTGGTTCTAGTTAGCACACCTTTATTGAGCACCTGACGGCTTTGAGGCAGCATGGGAGGCTCTGGGCTTCCAATTTTGCTCCCGAGTGGTTATACCTAGCAAACCAGGTGGGATTAGGACCCCTCTCCATTATGACCTCATTGCTTTCACTGATCATGAACATATCTTCAAAGACCCTATTTTAATACAAAGTCCAATTCATAGCTATGTGGGGTTGGGACTTCAGCATATCTTCTTGGGGGTGATACTGTGATACATTCATAAAGGCAAAGACATAAGCTTCCTTTGCAGCTCTTTCAGGTTGGACAAAGGAAGATGCAGGGATATTTATTGTTCTCAGCATTTCTAGGTGTTTATTGTTCTACATGTTTATAGCATTTCACAAGCATGGGTTCCTTACATATCCCTGATGCAGCCTCATGTGGAAGGTCGGATGAGTGTACTCAACACCATGTTTTCTTACAAATAAGTGCAAATTCAGGAAGGCCAAACGAAGGGTGCCAGGTGGCACAGGGATGTGGCGCACCTCACTTGGGTTCTTGATTTTCTGATGATGAATCCAACTTACAAGGCTGCCATGCTGGGCATGAGCTCTGATTGGTAAGTGGTCTGCTCGCGGATCCTGCGGTATCTGGGCATCATGGTTACTCCTGACCCACTGTGGGATGTGGCAACGTTCTGCCCAAGCTGAGAACCCCTGTCCTGGAGACCCAGGCACCCCTTCTGAAACCCCAGCTTTCTTTTTTTTTTTTTTTTTTTCGTGATCGAAGTGAGTTTTATGAGGGTTAGAAGAAGTTTCAGGTTTACACGGCACCCAAGGGGCTCCTCCCGGACATGCGGCCTAGCTGGAAGCTGCTCAGCATCCGTCCCACAAAGTGTGCCAAAGCTCTCTGCGCCTAAGTTCTCTCTCTCCCTTCTCTGGGCTTCTGCCTTTTCAAGGATTCCACAGGGAGGCGTGGTGGAAGACCCCTGATTGACCCCATTGGCTGAATTGAATTTACCTGGCTAGGTGAGCCAATTCAAGTTCACGCCCACCCCTGCCTACTGGCGGGAACCCTGGTCCCAAACCCCAGCTTTCCATGGACACTGCCAGGCTGAGCCCAGCTGCTAGAATCTCCACGCACTGCCCTCCTCGGCCCTCTCTTTGCTCCCCAACCCAGCCACTCCACGGCCGAGTTGAAGGCCCCACAAAAGGTGGGAAGAGTTGTTGACTTAAGTAGCTTTTGCTGTTAGCTCTGCAGAAATATCCCCAAGGCAAGAAACATACAATTGGCAGAGGAATGAACACAACTTATCCCCTGAAAATATTTTTTAATCTCTTTATTTGTTCCCTCGTTCACTCATCAAGTGTTCTCTGTGCAGGGCTCTAGAGATTTGCTTGTGACTAAGACAGACTTGAGTCTTGTGCCCACTTGGGGTTTCTTGAGCAGCAGGGACGGGAGTGGGCCTGGGAGGCCTGGCCATATGCACACAGGATAGGAGCACCATTGGCAGAGAAGCCAGGCAGGAAACAGGCCTGGGCAGAGGTTAGCTTTTCCCAGGAGAGGTCTGTGGCAGAACCCTAGCCCCTCCCCCCCACTGAAGAAGAGGGCAGGGAAGAAGGGGTATGGAGGCTAAGGGCGAGTGCTCAGGCCCCAGTGAATGAGCTCCTCTGAGAAGGCCAGGTGCCCCATGGGGGCCTGGCCCCTGCTCACTTCAAGCATCCTCTAGGACATCCCAGGGCTCCGTAAATATGCCTTGGCGGGTAAGTGAATGAATAAGTATATTGCACTGGAGAAAGACAGCTCTCACCAATGAAGAAAAGGCACAACAACTCTCCCTTCCTCTTCGTCAC